ACCATCCTCACCATCCTCACACCTACACCAACACCATCCTCACCATCTTCACACCTACACCAACACCATCCTCACCATCATCACACCAACACCATCCTCACCATCATCACACCTACGCCAACACCATCCTCACCATCATCACACCTACACCAACACCATCCTCACCATCATCACACCTACACCAACACCATCCTCACACCTACACCAAAACCATCCACATTTGGCAGGACATTGAAGACTTAGACAGGCTAGAAGCATCTTCCCCCAAATCTTAAGTCATACAGGTATGAAGAAAATAAAAGCTTACAAAGATAACTTCTAGACTTCTGGCTTGTGTAAGATACACAAACACACCTTTAGCCAAGTTGCAGAATTCTGGCAGAATGAAGACCAGATGTGTGGAGAAAATTAAAAGTTCTTTTTGGACAAACTGAGGAGCTTCTGCGGCATCTGTGTGATGAAATGCTTCCTACATATATTAACCAAAAAGTGGAATGTAACTGCTGGTTGGATCTCAGTTAAGGTCAGAGATAGGAACTCACAAGTCAACTCAGTGTAGGTGGTTACTAAAGCCAGGAGTTCAGCAAAGAGAAAAACAATAGAAAATGAAGCCTCGGAATGGAGCCTAGGGCTCTCATGGGCACAGCCCAAGGAATGGAGAAAGGAATCCAAGGGGAACAGATGCATCAGCAGAAATAGGAGGAAAGCCAGGAGTTCTGAATCCCAGTAGCCAAGGGGGTTGGAATAAGGAAAGAGATGCCTCAAACACGAGTGTCAACACCCTGGAATGTAGCTGAAAGGTCACAAGGATGAAAAGCCACGAGTTCACTGGGTTCAATGACCACAGTAAGATCTGCTAGACGGAAGTGGTCCCTCTTCCTGTTGTTGTTTCCATAACACTTGATCGTACTTAAAAAAAAAACACTTTGGGAAGGATCTAGAAGGTCCTTGATAGCAACTGACTTAATTCTCCACTTTATCTTTATGCTTGGGGTCCATTGTTAAGCAGAGCAGAAACCACGGCCCCACACGCAGCAAAACTAAACCTCTGACAGTTGCTTTAAGGCAAAAACCATAGAACCTTGGGTCACATGGGTTCCAACGGCCTGGACTGGAAGAATGTGGATTATCAGGAGCTATTCAGGCGGAATCAAGGGGGCGCGGGTAGAAAGAAGCCTGGGCGAGGCCGGAACGCAATCAGAATCCAGGCACTCGCCACCAACGCCGCCCCTCAGGCCCAGCCCGTTCCGCCGCGGGGACCATAAGGGCCAGACCCCGGACCACGCGGAGGCCACGTTCCAACCGTCCGCCCGCGGCGCGGGGGTCTCCCGGGCCGCCGCTGGAAGTCGGGAATGGATGGCGAGCCCCGCGGTGCCACCCTGCGCCGCCACTTACCATTTTCCTTCCGGTCGTCAGCGGTCCGTTGCCGAGTGATCTCTTGGGCCCCTTTAAGAATGGCTCGGCAGCCACCTCCCTTCCTGCTTCGGCTGGCGCACGGCTCAGCTTCCCCCCACCTAACTACGCGGCCGCCGTGGCCTGCACGTGACGGCGGACGGCGGGAGGCGAGGCCCAAAATCTAGCGAAATGCGGACGCGGGCGCCTCTCCTGCCTGCTAAGGAAGGATGCTCCGCCCTCCGGATTACCAAGGAATGAGCCAACCCGGCGGTGCGCAGATTCTTGGTGTCTTTAAATATTCTACAAGCCTTAACGGCAGGAATTTCGTGGTGACAAACCTGAGGCAATGACTTTAGCGGTAAATGTGAGTGTCAGTTACAGTTTACGTTCAGATTTAATGCTTTTCAAAGGTAGACGCGGCTTCCATCCTTCCACCGGTCCCAGAGCGCCATCCCTGACCCTGTGTGCTTTCCAGAACTTGCTGAATTCATTTATTTTCCAAAGAGTAGTCATACTCACTAGTAAATGGTGATCATGGCAATCATGCATGCTCTTATTCTCAAGTCACAGCCGAATTGAACTCTGAAACCCAGGTGCCATTATTGTTTCTTTTTTTCTTTTTTCTTTCTTTCTTTTCTTTTTTTCTTTCTTTTTTTTGTTTGTTTTTTTGAGAGAAGGTTTCTCTGTATAGCCCGGGCTGTCCTGGAACTCATTCGGTAGACCAGGCTGGCCTCGAACTCAGAAATCCGCCTGCCTCTGCCTCCCAAGTGCTGGGAGTAAAGGCGTGCGCCACCACCGCCCGGCGCCATTATTGTTTCAAAGTGTGACACTCAAAATTACAACCTTTTAAATGTATTACTATTGGTATTCCAAAACTGAGATAAACTTGTCTTTCTAAGAAACAGTATGAGGTACAAAAAAGACAATGTGGATAAAAGGGTTGGCAGCTTTAGGAAAAAGAAATATAAGAAAAATTTAAAAACATTTTAATATTTTTTTATATCTTTTGGTACTTTCTCCTTGGCCATCCATAACTATTATCCTCAAAAGATTAGTAGAACTGTGGCATCAGAAATTCAAAAATAAAGGATAGAAGTTGCAGAGAATCAGGGGTTAAGAAGAGCACAGACTGTTCTCTCCACACTGGCTAGATGTTCAGAAACCACCAAAATGGTAGTTCACAGTGTAACTTCAGCCCCAGGAGATCCAATGCTCTCTCTGGCCTTCAGGGCCACTCCATACATGTGGTACAAGCAGGCAAAACACTCATACACACAAACTAATGGTATAATTTTTAAGAATAAAAACAGAAGACTGGAAGGGAGGGAGGGAGAAATGAAGAAAGAAATGCAACGAGCAACTTTGATTTCTAAAGATAGAGTTTTGGATCTCCAAAACAGAATCATATTAAAACCCCAGAGATTTTCAGGGAGGGCACCTTATATAGTTTTAAAGCTCTATTAGCATTTGTTTAAAATCCAGATATTGGGTAATGGTAAATGGATTTCTTGTATACCACTCCTTAGGGAAGATGAGACAAAGTCAACAGTAGGAAGGAAAAGCTTTCTGCTTTGGATCTGTAGAAGCTGAGGAGGAAGGCTGAGCACCTGCAGGGCCTCACTTTCCCATTCTGGCTTTCCCCTCCAGCTGGAAATGGCAGAGGGAAGGATGTGGTCACCATAGCATCCAAATAGGCCGGGTGTCAGAGAAAATCCTCTTCTCTAGGGAGAGGCCTGAAATTTGACTCTATTCCATCTTTAATGCAATAAAGATATATTCAGAGGCAGAAGTGGGCTAATCTGTTTGCATAAGATGGCCCTGAAACCACCATGTGACGTGCAGGAGAATCTACACGTTCATATAACAGCTTCCCTCCCCTGGTAAAACGGAGATGAGCATCTAGCAGGCCTTCGGGACTATGAGGCTGTGCGTTACTGAAGGTTCTACTGACACAAGTTCATGGCTGGAGCCTTGAATCTCAGTGGTGGGTACTCTCTAGAAACAGACGCTCAGACAAAGCTGTCTTCAGCTTGGTGAGAACCTGTGTGCATGGTGCAGAACTGCACCCTCATTTCCCCGCCTCCCACCACAATATCCCATGAGCATCTGCTGTCATCAGATTATCCTTTTAGGAGAAGCAAGAGACAGGGGAAGAGAGAAAGGAGAAGGCTACAAATTTTCTTGAAAGAGGCCAGATTCTTAAAAGTGTTAAACTCAAAAAGACCAATTCCTTTTTAAAAGTCTTTGTGTGTGTGTGTGTGTTCCACAGGTCCCTGCATGCCACAGTGAACATGTAGAGGTCAAAGGTCAACTTCAGGTGTCAGTTTTCACCTTCCACCTTGTTTGTTTCCACAGTAGTGTCTTACTGCCTCTGCACATACCAGGCCACCTGGCTCAAGACCTTCTGGGGATCCAATTGTCTCTTCTCTCAGCTTCCTATAGAACCCATGTCATACACACTCAGTCTGTCTAGCTTTCACATGGATTTCAGAGATCTGACCATCACCATTTCACAGGCAAGCAAGCACTGGCCTCACTGAGCCACCACTCCAGACCCAAATCATAATAAGACTTTCAGTTTATAAATGTAAGTTCCCATTATCCTCTCTTCCTTCACAACCATACTATTGGCAGGGGAAGGGTGGCATTCAAGAACAAAACTAGCTCAGTTAGGGCTGGAAAGATGGCTCAGTCAATAAATTGCTCGCTTTGTGTAAAGCACAAAGACCTGAGTTCAAAGTCGGGTGTATTAGTGAAAAGTATGTCATTCTAGTACTGGGGAGGCAGTGGGCAGTGAGAACTGGCCTCCACATGTGTGTGCATGCACGCACGCATGCACACGAGAGTTAACTTGGTAACAGATTATAAAGAGAAGCCATTTTTCCTGGGACCTTGAGAGTTATACCCGTTTACCCTGAATAGCTTATGTGGCGCTGCCAAGTAACTTATTCAAAAGAACTTCTCTCACTCTGACGTGACAAATATAAGATAGATTATTGCAGCGTGAACACAGTGAGGTGTCATCCTCCTGCTACCTGAAAAGCTAGCTAGAACAATCAGAAGATGTTTATAACCAAGCCAGAAAGGTTCCCATCAGAAATATACTAATGAGAGTGATCACTAGAGAGAAGAGGAAGCACCCAGGAAGGCTTCTCAAATAGGGATTTCAGAGTTAAATCCAACTCTTAAACTTACTTAGAGATTTTTTTGTTGTTGAGGAGGAGGAGGAAGAAGAGGAGGAAGAGGAAGAGAACAAGAAAAATAAGGGGTTATCAAGTAGGGAAAGAGCATAAATGTCCTGTATAGTGCTATGTCAACTTGACACATACTAGAGTCATCTAAAAGGGGGAAACCTCAATTGGGAAACTGCCTCTAGACCATCCGTCTCTAGGGCATGTTTTTAAATTAGTGATAGGTGAGGGAGGGTTCAGCCTATTGTGGGTGGGGCCATCCCTGGGCTAGTGGTCCTGAGTTCTATAAGAAAGCAGGCCGAGTAAGCCATGGGCAGCAGGCCAGTAAGCAGCACCCCTCCATGGCCTCTACATCAGCTCCTGCCTCCAGGTGTCTGCCCTGGTTGAATTCCAGTCCTGACTTCCTTTGATGATGAACAGCAATGTGGAAGTGTAAGTAGAAAAAATGTTTTCCATCTCAACTTGCAGTAATAGTAACCCTAAGACAATAGGTATAGCCAGCTCTGGAATCTGCACATAGCTTATTTTACTAATTTTAAGACGAACCATCCCTTTAGTGTTCACCTGTAGTCCTAGCTATGTGTTGGAGACTGAGGCAGAGGATCAAACGCGCACCAGACTGCAAGATAGTCTGGGACAGGAAGTCCCCATCGTTTTTTATTAGTACAAACGGTGTGTTATTGATTGTGTGTGTGTGTGTTTGTGTGTGTATGTGCAAGTGCTTGCAGAGTACATCCAGGTCCAGGAAACTGTAATTGCAGAAACTGAGCTGCTACAAGAGTGCTGAGAATGAGAATGCACTTGGGTCCTCTGCAAGAACAGTCAGAGCTACTAACCACTGAGCCGTCCATCGATCCACTCTCAGAAGTCCCTATCTTAACAACAACAACAACAACAACAACAACAACACTTAAGACTTCCCCCTCCTCCACACAGACTCTAATTTCTATGGACTCAGTACCTGAAAGCCAGCTTACATGTATTCTCCTCAGTAGGGTAAATCTGAACCTCGAAGTACTTAGAATTATACTTAAGTTTTGAGGGGAGCTTTGCCAAGCCTTATACTCAATTTCCTCCTTGTAATTCTGTGTTCAGACTGTTAGAATGGATCTCCTGAATTGGCTTCATGAACCTGCATCTGTCAGCAGTGTACTTAGAAGACTGGTAATACATTCCATTTAAGGTTTGTGCTTAGAGGGGAACAGAGGTGAATGGCAAGAGAGTAATGGTAGAGACGGCAGTTTCCCCTCTCTCCTCTCTTTGCAGTCCCTTCTCCCTACCCCTCCTCCTGCCCTGTCCATTCCTCCTTCCTTTCTCTTCAGAAAAGGGCAGGCCTCTGATGGATACCAACCAGTCTCCGTGTACCTCTTCTAACAGAACTTGCCATTTTGCCTTTTTTTTTGTTGGAAGTTTGTTAGTTAATGTTTGCCCTCTTCAGTAGTTGTGTTTGTCTTGACAACATTCCTGATACAGAGCAGAGTGAAGGTTTGTTCGGCTCTTGGTGTCAGGGGTTTTAGTGTATAGCCAGTTGACTTGGCTGTTCCTAAGCCATGGTAAGACCAGACTATCATGGCAGCAGGATATGGTAGAGCAAAGCTGCTCATGCTATGGCAGCCAGGAAAGACAGTGAATGGGACAAGACACAGTTCCATGGCTGTACCCGCAGTGGCCTGCTTCCTCCCACTGGGCCCTACCTCTCAAATCCACCACCTCATAGTAATTCACAATTATGAACCCATTGATAGAGTTATTTTATTGGTTAGGTCAGGCCACCACAACACAGTCATTTATTTTTAATTAATTTGTTATTTTTTTGACACAGGATTTTACTATGCAGTTCTGGCTGGCCTGAAATTTCATGTGTAAGCTAGGGTGGCTTTGAACTCACAGAGATTCCCCCTAATTCTCCC